TGGTTCGGGCAGTTATGGAGACTTATGAAGGTGTAGAGGCGGTGGTTACGGAGGAAGGTGTTAGATCTGGTGTTTTGAGGTAAAAGTTGGTGTTCATCAAGGTTCAGTCTTGTCGCCGTTACTGTTTGCTTGTGTGATGGATGTGACAGAGAAGTGAGAAGAAAGAAGGATGCTGGTGTTTGTTGTATGCAGATGACATTGTCTTGGTGGCGGAGTCGAAGCAGAAAGTCATGGAATGGTACCGAGAATGGAACGGCAATAGAAGTCAAGGGACTGAAAGTGAATGAGGCAAAGACGAAGGGCATGAGATGCTCGAGGCAGGTGGAGGTGAAGGACAGTGATAAATGGCCATGTGGTGTGTGTGGGAAAAGAGTTGGGTGAATTCGATAATGTGTGGGAAATGCAGTAAGTGGGTTCATGGAAGATGTTCAGGTGTCCGTGGTGCATTGACAAAGTAACTGATTTTGAGTGCGGGACGTGTCGAAGTGGTGGGCGAGTCGCGATTGAACGGTTTTGAACTGGGTGACGTGAGTTTGGAAGGTGTATCGGGTTTAAATATCTGGGCGATGTGTTAAATGATGGTGGAGGGTGCGAGCAAGCGGTGAGGAACAGAGTTCAAGCAGCGTGGTGGAGTTTAGAGAGTTGTCAGGAATGTTGTGCGGAAAGTCGACTTCGTTGAAGCAGAAGGAGAGAATTGTACAAGGCATGTTAGAAGTGTTTTTGGGATATGGAGCAGAGTGTTGGGCGCCGAAAGCAGAGGACCTGAGAAGATTGGCGTCGACGGGAAGGAAAATGCTTAGGATGATGTGTGGTGTAACATTGATGGATAGGATTCGAAGTGAAGAGATTAGAGAAAGAGTTGGTGTTGAGTGTATCGAGAATTGGGTAAGGCGCCAGCGTTTGAGGTGGTTTGGGCATGTGAAAGGAGGGAAAAGTGCTGAAATTCGTAGAACGTTGCATATGAATGTTGATGGAGTCACAAACGAGGTAGACCAGAAAGAGATGGATGGATGCTGTGGTGATATGAAGGCGATGGGTATAACGAGAGATATGAAGAAAGACGTTTGGCGTAGAAAAATTCATGGACCGGTCAACCCCCCTGGCGGGGATTAATACTGGCCAGTATACAAATGTTGTTTGTTTGTTGTTTTGTATTGCAGGTGAAAGTTCTGAAGGGTCTACTTTTGTCCCAGAAAGTATGGAAAATGAGGTTATGGAGCGAGAAGTGTTGCTTATTCCTCGTTGCAATGTGAAAGCTGACTTGCTGCACTATTTTGAAAAAGATGATATTTTAAAGAAGTGTGTGGATGTCAAGATGATTGATTCCAGAGGTGTTGAGGAAAAGGGCGAAGGAGTCGGCGTTGTCAGGGATGCATTTTCTCTGTTTTGGAATGAAATAATTTCATGTCCGTCGAGGATGAACGAGTCCCAGTGATTCGTCATGACGTTTTGCGGGAGAAGTGGCAAGCGATAGCTAGAAATCTTGTGTAAGGTTACACTCAAGAACGCTATTTTCGAATCAAAATTTCTTGCGTTTTCTTGTGCTCCTGTCTTTTTGGCGAAGATTATGTCTCAGAAGTTATGTACCTGAGTTCGTTTATGAAGTGTGTTTCGACCACTGAGTCTAGTGTGGTTAAAAATGTACTTTCTCATTCTCTTGCAGTTTATGATGAAGATGTACAGGATTTTTTAACAGGGTTTGAGTGCAAAAATATATAGCGTTTATACAGCGTTTGCTGTATAGCTTTTTCCCTCGGTGTTTTCCCGTATAGCTTTTTCCCTCGGTGTTTTGCCGTATAGCTTTTTCCCTCGGTGTTTTGCCGTATAGCTATTTCCCTCGGTGTTTTGCCGTATAGCTTTCCCTCGGTGTTTTTGCCGTATCTTTCCATTCCTTCCATTTTTTCCCTCCCTCCTTCCATCCTCTTTCCATTAATTTTTCCTCTTTCCCTCGGTGTTTTGGTATCCTTTTTCCCTCGGTCCACCAATCATATATTCCCTCAGTTTTGCTGTAAGGATTTTCCTCGGTGTAAGCTTTCCCTCGGTGTTTTGCGGTATATAGCTTTTTCCCTCAGTGTTTTGCCGTATATATGTTTTTCCCTCGGTGTTTTGCCGTATAGCTTTTTCTCTCGGTGTTTAGCTGCCGGAGGTATTATGTATTCCAGGTCGAAAATCGCGCAAATATTTGTGTTTTTAACAATCTTATAAAAATTTACACAATAGCTGCTTTTATCGGCCTCGAAATCGTCCCAAAGGTTTGGTGTTTTTATATCACCTAAACTCTTCGATATTTTAGGCATTTTTCGTCCGTACGTATCTACAAGCTTCTAATGAAACGAATGAAGTCACGTTAGACGAGATTGAAAGAGTTATTGACGAAGCTGACAGGTAAATTTTATAAGAATTGTCCTCTTATATTAATACAGCGCAAGATAAATTTTTAAATTCTTTTTTAGGTTTCTATTGGTACGTATGTCTTGAATGATTCAGTGACGTAGTTCTAGTTTATTTAAGGTTCAGTTAAGTCAGTTTTAGAGTTTACTGACACCATTTAGGTCAGTTTTAAGTATACCTAGGGCTTATCAAGTTATATTTGATGCAATTAATACATAACTTTTGAAAGCAATTCCCTTTTATTACATCGCCTATTCGTGTACTCTTTTAGCCATTGTACGCAAGTGCTTACATATTGGCGTCGGTTTTGTCTTTCTGCGAATAAATGTTTTAATTTTACGTATGTTTTAAAAAAAATTCTGAAATAACATCATTCAGCTTTGTTTTCCTTTTCTTCTATAGATCGTCTCTTCTTTCTCATTTCTTTTGGGCAATGTTTTCAATTCTTCAAAGTTATAAATCCTCGATCAATTTTGGTTATCTTGCAAGTAGATGAACAGTTCAATAGTGTTGTTTACCGTTAGATTTACATCACGTGACTGAATTTGGCTTTTTCTTTGTTGTATTGTCGTACCGTGGTATTGTATCCTAAACACCATTTGCTTTTTTTTTAATATACCATATCTTATAAGGAACATTCTACATCGAACAATGTTAGAAATGTGCACCACCACTTCATCAACTTTTTGCATATAGTTTGCGTTATTTCTTTACAAACATTTTGTGTAACTGCATGGTCTTTTGCACTAAGTTCTTTCCATGTGGATTTGTTTAGAACAAAGGTTAGTCAGCAATAATGTCTTAAGCGTGTGTATCAAACTTGTACATAATGAGCGCTATCATTGTGAACAAACGTAAAAGCAACGTAACACTTTGCGAAGATTTCTTATAAGTTTACAAGAAGAATTTTTGCTTAAATTTTATAGAATCAAATCACTATAAAGTAAATCCCATCCTCAGTAGTAACCATGCAAAGGATCTTGAGTGTGTTTTATTAATCTGTCATATAAGATATTAAGAAGCGTCAGAAAATATTTGGAGAAATACTTACATGCAAACCTCCACCTATACAGGAAATGTTACGCAAATACTACATTCACTGCATGATGGTAGTTCTAACAGTTCTTAAAAAGAACTGTGAGTTACAAACATTCTATCACACATGCCCAGTATTATTTGAAGTAAAAGATGTTTTGCAAAAAATAACTAAAACAACTATAATCGAAACGAATAAATTTAAAAGAAATTTTTCAATTTTTCTTTTTACATGTATTGCTGATTAATTTCTAAATTCTCTTCAATTGATTTAATCGATTAAGCTCATGAGGATCATTAGACTAAAAATACATGGAACGCTACCTTAAGAAAATAATTAAAGCCAATTCTTACACCCAGACACGCGAGGTTTTACACCAGATACGCTTGTGTAGTGTTTCGAGATTCTCTCGCGGAGTGAAAATTGATTGACTACACACGCGTGTCTGGGTGTAAAGTTTGGCTTCAAAAAATTATTAGGCTTTTCTATTACTGGTAGCGTTCCATGTATTTTAGTTCAGTGGCTCAGATCGACTTCCACATTTTCACAGGCTAAAGAAAACCCAGCTGTTGACCAAGCTGCGTACGCGTTTTATATTGTTGTTGTGTTATAAATGATCGACAAAAAACATTTCTCTTTTTTTTTCAGTAAAATATGTTCAAAGGAAATATTATTAAAACTAAAACAGACAAACTGAGTTATTTCCGTGCAATTTAATTCGTATATTGTATGACGTCAGGGACGTCGGAACGTCGATAATTGAAGGGGGAGAATATTCATATATTCGTAGTCACATCTCCTAAAAAACAATTGATTTCAAAAGAAAGTAATCATCTGAAACACACATGTATGAATATTTGCCCTCCCCCCTATTATCGACGTTCCGGCGTCCATGTAGAACGTTGAATTTCTCCACTAACATGTAACTTGCCTTTTCAAACAAACTTACGTATGACAAATTTCAGTACCTTTAACAAAAATATATGTATGCTAATACTTCAAACTAGAAATAGGTTATGGTCACAGATTTGGTTACGACATTTTAGTGCGCACAATTCTGAGAGTACTGCAGTAGCCTGCCCTTCCAAGTAAAAAGTAGGTAGAAATACTAACTCACTTTAACTTTTTCAATTGTAGTTCCTGTCTCATCAGCTGCCTTTTGAATATTGTTTCATGTTTCTCCTTTGCCATTCCCTGATCGTAATAAGACTTCAAGATAGCTTTTTGCAAGTCAGTTAATACTTCATACTGTTTTCCAGTTGCCGCCATCTAGATATGGTACACGTGTGTCGTGTGCATGTCGTGTGTTGATGATATATAAATTGGTGCATATATAAATTAAATATGGCGTCAACAAGAACGCTTAGAGGATCTCCTACATCATATAAATGCGACGTTCTCAATTTGAGAAGTCTTGCTTCAGACGATTTAGAACATGCGACACGGGTGATGATTTGAATTTTTTTCAAAACTGGCTTTTAATGACAAACTGTTATTTGTAAATAGACGTCTTACCTACAGATATGTAGAATGATCTGCAGGTAGTTAACCAATCAAAAGTGACATTGCTTACTTATTGAATAATGATGTAAGATAATTGCATGACATACATGATACACCAAGATTGCGTGGAGCGTGGCGAAAAGATAAAACTAGTTACTTACAGACCAATATCTAATTAAATGAGTGAAAAGACGTAACATTAGAGTCATATAATTACCTAAATCACCTCTAATTTTTAAGGAAAATATTAGAAAATTATTATTTCACCACAGCATTTTTAACTATTTTTTGACGCTTTTTAAATAGACAATGATTATAAAGGTTCTTTTAAAAGACATAAAAGCTAAAATGTTTTCATTTTATGTTGAAAGTTTCATTAGAAATAATTATCAAATTTATAACATCACAGTCTTTGGAAATTCTTTATGGTTTTATTTTCATCTCAGTAAACGTTAAAGATTTATTGTTTTTTTTCCAATAATACCGAACCACACCACTCCAACTGCTGTATGCTTCACTATAGTAGTGCCCATTCAGGTTAGATTGATGACAAACATTATACCACCAAGCACCTTTCCAGCATGAGGCACAGTTTCCACTATCTTTATCATTATCTGAATCCTTGGTTGAAAACGCCATGCCATTATGATAATGTAATGAGTCTCCAGCAGTTCCTAAGAAAAGTAATACCTTTGAAAAATCGCATTTAATGCAGTTATAGAATTCTTTTGAACTTGCAGAAACTCCCCCAAAAAGGGTTTTATGTCGTTGGTAGAAGATTTTTATAGCGGTCGTTTGTTTTGGGGGCTTTTGTGAGATTTGCCAATCAGTTTTGTTTTATTTTAGTAGAAGAGGAAGGACTGATGTAAGTGTTAAAATATATTATATAACACTGAGTTTTCATTTCACATATTCTGGTGCATGTGGGAGATCCAACCACAATCACATTATAATATTGTTACCATTTGTCATAAAGTTGTTATAGCTGACTTATTTAACAACTTGCTGTAAATCCTTTTTCAAAATGGAATAAATAAATTGCAAAGGTAAAATTTGTCAAAACTCTGACTTTGATCCTACTTTCATTTCCCAGAACATTATTTCTACATCCAGCCTTAACTCATTGCTCTCACTCTTATGTTAAGTAATGAATGATATTTAATTTGTATTATAATAGACCTTTAAAATTCTTTATTGACTTGATGATATGCCTGTAGTGTTGTCCGAGACTTAATTTATATTTATGTTTTTCATTCTTCTTTATATAACTTTATCCAAGGAAACTTTAATGAATTTGAGTAACGTTTATATATGTATAAAATAATTAGGAAGTTTATAATTTATGATTTTCCGTATAAAACAGTGCTCGATGCCCGAGAGCAGAGCGTAAATAGTGATAAGAAGAAGAAAATACACAAAAACTACAATTTCATCCCGACAAGCCTGTTTCGTGATTTGCTCACTCTTCAGGGAGTTAATGATGATTAATTCATAATCCCTGAAGAAGTATCTAGCTGGCTGTCAAGATATATGAATTTTAATAATATCATTATATTATATATTTATACCTATTTATAAGGTAAAATAGTTGGATGTCCCAGGCTTGTGACCGGTATAGCAGAGTATAACTCTGGGACTTGCAACGTAAGGCTCTCTGCTTTTGAGTAGACTTGTTTTGTTTACAAGGAAGAGGAGTGGAAGGTTAATTTTTCAATGTTGTTAGATAAGGTCGTTATTGTTTGTAGTTGTTGGATAGAGCATTATGCTATCATTTTTTTATTTATACATAAATAAATAATCTGGGAATGGAAGCCTGAATTTACAATCATATACTACAGGCTTGCATGCATTTGATATTTGACATAAAATGTTTTAATGTTCATTTAAGTCCACATAATTTAGCAATGTTTTAATCCACGATGTTTAGGCGCATGCTCATTACTTGTTTACAAAGCTTCAATTCAATTTTTATTTAATCTTAATGCTATGGTAAGCACAATCCATGAATGATCTTTTATTGTAAGTCAAAAATTCTTGTCGTAGGGTGCAACTTAGTTATTCACACAACAAAATGATTTTTTTGTCTGTTTAATGTATTTTGTTGTAAGTTTGTAAGATCAAATTGATTATATTTTTTAAGATCTAGCAAGACTTCCGCTCAAAGTCAACCATTAAAATATCTATGTTTTTCCCAAAATTGCAGACCTGTCTACGCAAACTGGAATCACTCGAATCATTCCGACGTATAATGCTTACATCAAAATATTGCTTAGAAATTTGTCCATAAAATGTTTATATTTACTAATTGACTCACCAGAATGTGCACCAAGACTCAACTGATATTTATGTGTTTCATTCTTTACAGCAAAAAAATCATATTCAGCATATGCTTTGTTTCCTGACCAGTCTCCCAGGTCAACACGAAGTTTATTTCTCTTGGCTGATGTTAGTCGGTATATTTTATTCAATCCAAGCCAGAATTCAGAAGCAAGATTACCAAATCCTTGTGTATAGTTTTTCCAATCTCGATAAAAGTCTACTTTTCCATCTTGACGACGTTGAAACACGGTCCAACCTCCACCAGATGACGTCATATCACAGAAGACACTGAATCTGCCCTGGCCATCTGGATCAATTTCATAAACTCCGTTCTTTCTTTCACCTTTTTTGTAGAGACCTGCACAGTCTTTTTCCTAAATAAAAGTTTTATTAAAAAGCTATTGCAATGTACGTCTTATGGGTTTTGTAACTCATTAAACCTATAAGCAAATTGCTACGCAGCTTTCCTGCGCATACATCCATTGTGCTGAATAACTAGTTTGTTCATTTTATAATTAAATCTAAACACAAATTAGAAATAAAATTGACTCAAGATCATTACAATTGCATTCTTATCCTTGAAATCAGGAGAATTTCAGTAACTTAAAAGATCAATTTATTTTATAGGGATTCTGTGACCTGTGGCGTGTTTAATTTATTGTAGAAAACAAATATATCTTCTGATACTGTCAGTTATCATTCGGCTGTCTAACGTACATAATGCAGAGCATGTTTAAATAGAAAGGTTGGTATTAATGGCTTGTTACAAAAATAGATGCATTCAACGTCTCCTACCGTAAACTTTCATTGAAAGAGCACAAAACCTTTTTAAACTGGTCAAATGTAGTAGAAACAAAATCTTGAACATTTTTGAATTTTACATTTTATATTAGAAATTCACCAATGCACAGTTTCCATGCATAAATCAGTTAATATTATTATTAAACATTATTTAGGATGCTACAGGCGTGGTAAAGTTGGTTAATGAACTACCGTTCCGATTTATAGACAACTTTCTTTATTAGATTAAAGCCCAACTTTTTATTTAGGTAATGTTATCATATTTTTAATATAAATGATTGGCAATTAAGCAGACAAATTGAATGATATCAACTGATTCGAAACATCAACTGATGTTTTTATTTGATGAAGACTTAGCGAGCATTTCAGTGATCATTAATATATATCTCTTAATAAAGGAATAACAATGTAATAAGTACATAATTTTCCACCAGCTATATTTTCAAAATGACGTTGGTATTTTATATTACATTATATTAAAAATGCAAGAAAGAGTAATATTTATCGTGCGTTGCTTTAATCCAATATGCTTTAACCAATGCAGTACTAAAGAAATTTTAAAAAGAAAAATATGCCTGCAGGATATTACGGGGGTTTGCAAGAAGATGATTTCGAAAACGAACACTTGATCAGGCTAACAAAAAAATGAGCAAAATTTTCTTTTTAAAAGAACTTTAAGTCAGATTTAATATAGTTTTGCACAACACTTACGTAGAAAAAATTAGCCTGAATTATCAATTATTTAAAATAAACGCAAAATGCCCACTTAAGAAACATTTTCCAATCAACTAGCTAATTTCTTTATTCTTACCGTCGGTAGTTGAGTTTGATAAAAAGTCCATTTTCCTTCTGAGGCAAGTTTCGTTAAATTGCTGTTTGTTGTCATGTTAGTAATTTGGCAGTTTATCTCATGTTCTTTTGCATCAAATAAGAAATTGAAGCCAACACATAGCTTCTGTTGATGACATTTCTTGAAACATTCAATGTGATTGGGAACAGTATAAGTTGAAATGATATCTTTCGGTGAAAGAGTCTCACCTTAAAATAAAGAACAAAACAGAATACATTACAATAGGTGTAAATTATGCACAAAGATAACAAAGTCCATTTTCTAGTCAGTATATACAAAATAAAATTAAAATTTACAAAATTCAATGAGACAGGAAGCAAAAGAAAGTCCCAATTATCTTCGTTTCTCAAAAGTAACCAATCATCATTTCTGTTCAAACGTAAACGCAAAACTTTCTGTACGTATATTACATAGACGGGGTGATACAATGGTAGCTACGACATTGCCCTAAATTTGCCAAACTGTATTTTGCGTATGAATCGTCATCAGTAGATTTTTTAGTAATTTTCATGACAACAATCATAAAAACATGAAAAGGAACTTATTTTGTTCATAACATGCCATCCACACGGCAAAAATATTAAGACTTTTGCTGCCTTAGTTTATAAATGAGATATGAATATGTTTTTAATGTCTAGGGTCTTAAGTTTTAGAATTTAAAAAACACGGACATCTCATGTAAATTGAATACAATATTTTCTCATATTGTATTATGTTAGCGAGCTTTGATTGGCGTAGAAAAAATTTTTGGCGATCAATTACTTTCCCGTTCTGTCTGTCTATTACACGTATAATTTTAGCTATAAATGTAAACAAATTTTGTTAAGCAAATATCAAAAGTTGCACAAAATGTGGAACTCGAACAGAGCTTGTAAATTTTTTTAGTAATTTTCATGACAACAATCATATAAACATGAAAAGGAACTTATTTTGTTCATAACATGCAATTCACACGGCAAAAATCTTAAGACTTTTGTTGCGTTAAGTCATAAATGAGATATGAATAACGTCTAGCGTCTTAAAATGCCTGAAACTTCTCTCAGGTATGAGGGAGGGTGGGTGAGACAACTCTCCAATCTTTACAATCTTTGGACTAGTTGTGCGAATTTCAGGAGTTTGTTGGGAAAATTTTCATAATTTCACAGTTCCATTATTTTAAAAAGTACAACTGGCAAGGTTTTGTACTCGTGTATATAAAATATGATTACAAACCATTAATAATTTTGAGATGAAGCCCTACAAATTCTTTGGCAAATGCATGACGTGTCAACATGTTTTGTGGAAACTCTGTTTAATTTTACTGGGAGAAGCTCAGCGAAAGCACCCAATAGTGTCAATTTATCGTTAGTTTGCAACATTAAATTCTTTGATCGTATGTTTGTATAGTTGTATTCACATTATTGTGCATGTTACTTTGTCCGTTTTTTTATCCGTGTATAATTTATTTTCTCCTAAGTCCAATTTGTTTGACGTAAACAAACCTGAGTTCAACGAAGATTCAAATTCACACGGGCTACTTTTTTGCATTTGCTGACCATTAAAACCCAGGTTTAACCTTGGTTTGACTTAACCCATATCAAGAAGTGGAATGAATTAAACCCAGGCCAAACCTGTGTTAATAGTGTTCACACGCAAAAAAAGGCATACAAGCATTCATTTGAACCTGGGTTGAGCCCAGATTAGCTAATGTCGTGTGAATTAGGCTCAAGTTTGTATCAACGTATAGTTAGTTGTTTTTACTTGTAGTGATTGATGAATTCATGCATGCATTGTTAGATGTAGAAAGTCAATATCAACTTTAGACGTGAGATAGATTCTGTAACACAAACATAAAGATGAGAAATTAAGAATAATGTACGTTATCCACCTGCTGTTAACAAAAAAATTCTTGGGCTACACTACATAAAGACGCCTTCTATAAATAAATTTAAATGAGCGGAAACTTTTAGGCGTATAGTTTTATTGTATTTCCAATTATATGTTCCAGCAAAAGTGTAAAGTTATGCTTGCAAAACTGCATGATTTTGATTAAGCGTCAGTGGTGGCAGATAAAATTTCTGATTAACAAAACTAATAAACTTTATAACTATATATCTATCGGATGATTTACCTTTACAAGCTTTTACCTACCAAAGTTTTTACACAAGTTTCGGCATTGAACGCAAGCAATATACGAAAATGAGTCGAAGAAATTAAAGACACAAAAAAGTAGGTTTTATTAGTCAGATGTGATGACACAATTTCAAAAAAATTATTTTGCTGACAAATCAAACTAAAGACCAACAAAGCTAGATAGAAAGCTTTGTTTCAAGTCATGTAATAAGCCAACCAAACTTGTCTGCTCGGTCATTACCGTTAAATATTGGATTTTAGTCTTTGAGTAGATAACCTCGCCGTACGGGCTCTGTATAAAGCTAAAAAGCCCTTGCTCGGATTTATCTTGGTGAAGACCTTGAGCTTTGTTAAAGGTTCAACGAAAAATATGTTTCCCTCGCGTCAAGTTAATAAAACATAAGAATGGTTTTTAAAACACACGCGTTTTACGACATACGAGTTTTTTATGTCCTTAAATTCATTTACGTAATTATATCTTTGTTATATTGTAACATACCGTTGTTTTTTGTCTTTATAAAAACACTTTGTGAACTTTGACAAGCATTATTTGATGCATTGTAGAAAGCAACTATAAGAAAAATCACAAAAACACGCATCAACATCTTGCATAAAAGAAAGAAAGACTTTATGTTTGAAAAATGTTTTTGGAAACAATTATATAGCCACCATCATGAAGAATAAATTATATTTTGCACATGCAGCTGTGTTCAATTTTCGTAAGTTACATAAAACAGCACTTTCCCAATATTTTGGGCATGTTTCAAGGCCATAAAAAGCCGATTTTTGTTTAGCTCTTGGAAGCTTGTAGAAATATTTCCTCGCTTGATGATGATGGAAAGATTGGTTTATTGGTGAACAATACAGTAAAACATTGTTCACATTAATTACATCCTATGTGATACACAACACATTAAGTTAAAACTCATATATAAATCATTGAGTACTCGAATATGTCTTGCTTTCACATATATCATAGTTAATAATTAATAAAAGTCCATCTGCTTTGCTAGCTAAAACCTTTGCTAGCTACAAACCTTTGCTATCTAAAAACCTTTGCTAGCTAAAACATTTGCTATCTAAATCCTTTGCTAGCTAAAACATTTGCTAGCTAAAACCTTTGCGGGCTAAAACCTTTGCTGGCTAAAAACGTAGCTTCTACAGACGTCCTGTTGTGTTTTGTGGTTTGAAATAAAATTTGCTAAAGTTCCATCATGGGTTCTTTAATTACGAAATCTAGCTATAATATTAGCGATAATGCCCGAGAAATATTTTTATTGTCAAGTGAATGCAAATTAAAGCTTTTAGGGTACAATTATTGACGTGTTGTTTTTATTATTAATGTCACTATACAATAATGATAAATACTCAGTTCATTAATAACGACAGTCACTCAATCACAGAACGGTCATGGGGACTGGGGAGAAACGGCAAGGTCACATGGGGGGGAGATCTTTTTGGGAAAATAGTGTGTTTACAGGTGAGGTATTTACATGATTTTGTGATTATAGTTGAGATCATACATTGTGACTGACTGAGCGTACGTACGATGTACGATTAGCTAGAAAAGATGTACGTACGATTAGATGATACAGACGGTTTCCTTTTTTAAAGTTGCCATAATCTTTGATTTTCTGGTATTTTGAAAATAAATTTACAAAATATTTTTGAAGACACGGCTGCTAATTGGTTGAATGCCCGAAAACCCCGTGTTTCAGAAACTCTATTACAGTCTCGTAAAAGTATCACAGATTGCATGGTTTGTGCGGAAACTTTTAATGAGACAATTTTTCAAACAACATGTCAATAAATTTGTGTTTTTAATATTGCTTTAATAGGCTATTTTATGAATGAGATAAAAAACATATGTACTTGTTTCCATTGAGTTATAGAATTACGTACTTGTGAAAGTGTTTGAGCAACTCAAAATTGCTCGGAAGCAATCGCCGTCGCAATTCGTGCAAGCTGCCACGCAACTTTTTGTTTCTCTCAAACTTTCTCGCGTGTAGAAACACGGAAAATATTTTCTATTTCTTACATGATAAATGAATGCTTATTTTTATACGTAGCTACACACGTATGCATTACGTTTTCCTTCTCTGTTTAAGCTACTACTACTAGTAGCAGTCACAGTCTGACAACGATGCTAAAAAATGCACGCTCCGTGCCTGATAACGTCGTGAATGTTAGCACATTCCAGTAAAAAGAACTGAGATCAGGAACTTGTTATGTTAATAAGAGCTGCCAAAATATGGGTGGCTTGTTGTTGTAAAAGAGTTAAGATGTGAATGATGTGATTTGAGAGAGATCAACAATAAAAGGCAATTACTCAAGCTCAATTTGGACTTCCTCGAACTAATTGTGAGAATCGAACGAAATTCACCTCAATAAAGATTAAACATCTACGTCACGATAGAATAATAATGGCTTCTTATTTTTCTTGGGTTTTTCTTTACGAAGCCTTTGGACTACGTAGCCATTACTTAAAAATTACGACAAACAAGAACATTATATTGAAGCAATTGTATAACGTGTAGCTCCTTACTCATTTGGACACACAGTCAACCAACCACAGTCAATTAATGTCTCAAAGTATTGTATTAAGTAAATACGTGACTGATTTGTTCTTATGTGAATTGTAAAGTGTACTTGTTCAAAAATCTATTGTTTTCATTCATTACTTAAACTACTGAAAAGTCATGCCTAAAACATATACAAAGTTTATTAAACTGGAAATGCTTATGTGCTCAACTGATATTTTATGATCAAGTGTTGCTAACATTTTTGTTATTTTGTTGTTGATGTGTTAGGCACGAGGTTAAAAACAGCCAATCACCAGTTCTCTTCTGCCATAATGACGTACAACCAAGTAATGATTTACAACTAGGTTATTGTGAATATTACAGACTCTTAATAATGGTAAATATGACTTAAATACTTACAAGAAACGTGTTGGTTAACGCAAAGGAAGATCTTGATGAGACAAAAATTCGTGTGCTTGATTTCGAATATTCTTGTTATAATTACTGGTCAAAATAATAGAAAGATTGTTTTCTTTTGAACCACAAATGAGGAAAAAAGGAAGGAATGTCTTTTCATCTTCGCGCTGCGTAGAGCTGTCAAATATTATGATAGTAAGATTTCCGTTATGTGCAACCATTCTCTTTGGCGAGAACAAGATTGTTTCATGACAAACCAGATAATATATCAGATAGTCGCATGAAATGCATGATAAATCCAAGATGGCGTGAGAACGAGGCAAAAACATCAAAATTTTTTGCAATTATCTTTCACCACCAACTTCAAAGAAATAAAAGAAAAGACGTCACCGCAAAACTATATCATTAAATCTACTATCATTTGGGGAAGAAAAAAATTTATTTTTTCACCACAGCATTTTTGAACAATTTTTTCCACGCTCTTTTAAAAGAATGATGTTTGTAAAAGATCTATTAAAAGATTTATCAAATGTCAATATTATGCGAAGTTTCATAAGATATATTCATTAAAGTTAAGGAAACACAATATTTGAAAATTCTTTATGGTTTCATTTTCATCTCTGAAAACTTTAATGAGTAAAAGTTTTTCCAATGATACCAAACCACACCACTCCCACTGTAGTATGCTCTACCATAGTAGCGCCCATTCAGGTTGGAATTATAACAACCTTTATACCACCAAGCACCTTTGTGGTCCGTGGCACAATTTAATCCATGATACTTATCATTATCTGAATCTTTTGTGGTAAATGCCATACCTTTATGATAAGATAATGAATCTCCAGCAGATCCTAAGAAAATTAAGAGTTCCTCATAAACTTGTATTTAATGTTGTTATACAATTCTCCTTTTGAACTTGCAGAAATTCCCCTATCTAGGGTTTTATGCAGTTGGTGCAAGATTTTTAGAGTCTTTCTGTGGTCGTCTTTACTGTGGGGGAAGGGGGGGTATGAGAGTTGTCAATCAGTTTTTTCCTCATTTTGTATAGTAAAGAAGGAGGACTGATGTAAATACCAAAATATATTATATAGTACTAATTTTTCATTTGATATATTCAGGTGCATGCGGGAGATCTAACGACAATCTCATGAATATTGTTACCGTTCGAAGGTAAAATTTGTTAAGCTGCTGCTTGACTTCGATCTCACTCTCATTCCCCAGAACATTATTTTTACATCCAGTCTGACTAATGACTGGTGTTTAATTTTTATTTGAATAGCACTGCAAAATTTTTTATTTACTTCATGATATATCTGTAGTGTTGCCCGAGCTCATGCTCATTACTTGTTTACAAAGCTTCAATTGAATGTTCATTTAATCTTAATGATACGGTATCCACAATCCATGAATGATCTCTTTTTGTAAGATTTTTAGAGTCTTTCTGGGGTCATCTTTACTGTGGGGGAAGGGGGGGTATGAGAGTTGTCAATCAGTTTTTTCCTCATTTTGTATAGTAAGGAAGGATAACTGATGTAAATACTAAAATATATTATATAGTACTAAGTTTTCATTTGATATATTCAGGTGCATGCGGGAGATAAAAAGACTCATGAATATTGTTACCGTTTGAAGCTAAAATTTGTTAAGCAACTGCTTCATTTCGATCTCATTCTCATTCCCCAGAACATTATTTTTACATCCAGCCTGACTAATGACTGGTATTTAATTTTTATTTCAATAGTAGTGCAAAATTTTTTATTTACTTCATGATATACCTGTAGTGTTGTCCGAGACTTAATTTTATATTTATGTTTTTCATTCTTCTATGTGTAAATTTATCCACGTAAACTTAAATGGATTTTAGTAACGTTTTAGGTTCTTGTCACGAGTTCATAAAAAAAAACTTTGCCTTTTTGTGATGCATATATATTGGAGGCCTGAATTTTTAATCATATACTACAGGCTTGCCTTTTATATTAAATGTTTCAGTGTTCATTTCACAAGGGTGTGAATTCTTTTATGTACAAAATAATTTTGTTGTATTTTATTCCACGATGTTTGAGCGCATGCTCATTACCTGTTTACAAAGCTTCAATTGAATTTTCATTTAATCTTAATGATACGGTAACCAAAATCCACGAATGATTTCTTATTGTAAGTCAAAATTGTTTTCGTAGGGTGCAACTTAATCATTCTCACAACAAATGATTTTTTATGGTTGTTCAATGTATTTTGTTGTAAGTTTGTAAGATCAAATTGATTATATTTTTTAAGTTCTAACAAGACTTCCGCTCAAAGTCAACCGTTAAAATATGTATGTTTTTCACAAAATTCCAAACCAGTCTGCGCAAACTAGAATCACTCGAATCATTCCAACGTATAATGCTTATATCAAAATATTGTTTAGAAATTTGTCCATCAAATTTTTATATTTACTTATTGACTCACCAGAATATGAACCAAGACTCAACTGGTATTTATGTGTTTCATTCTTTACAGCAAAATAATCATATTCAGCATATGCTTTGTGTCCTGACCAGTCTCCCATATCAACACGAAGTTTATTTCTCCTTGAAGATGTTAAACGGTATATTTTATCCAATCCAAGCCAGAAGTCTGAACTAAGATTACCAAATCCTTGTTTGTAGTCTTTCCAACCTCGATAGAAGTTTACACTTCCATCTTGACGTCTTTGAAACACATTCCAACCTCCACCAGATGTCTTCATATCACAGAAAACATCGAAATAACCCTCGCCATCTGGATCAATTTGATACACTCCGTTCTTTTTTTCACCTTTTCTGTAAAGATCTGCACAGTCTTTTCCTTCAGATCAATGATAAAGAGGGAATTCAAATTCAAACCCTTCTTTTCTTACAGAGCTTATAAGTTATATACGTATGACAATAGACAGTTATATTCATTCCCTTGTCTTCTTAAAATAATTCTTACCTTCTATTTGGGTTCGCATGAGATTTTTATTATTCTTGAAAAGCTCTTTAAATTGTTTTTCAAGACTTTTTAGCTCCGTTTGGGCAGTTGCTATTTTTGCTTCAAGTATTTTCATTTGTAATGATAGCTTAATCATTTTAATTTCAAACTTCTTGATTTGTTTTTGTAATTTTAAAAGCTTACCCCTTTGTTCATGTGTGTTGTTAATTTTGGACTGAAGCTCTATCTTAAATGTTTGAAGGTGTTTGTTTTGCGTGCCAAGTTTTTTGTGATATGCTTGAAGTGCAGCTATTTGTGCTTTTATAGATGCAATTTGTGTCTTTAATGTTACATTTCTATGTCCAGATTTCAAAGTGCGTTTCATGTCGAAACTTATTGATGAGAAATCCTTTTTTGAATGATCTCTTACATTGTTTGCTCTCGCTCTATACAGAAATAGAAAAAAAAATAATACAAATTACAATAAAATCATCTTTTATACGACATATATTACAAATATGTAATAATTCACCGCCTTTAAAACCTAAAATGTATTTATTACAAACATTTACATTCAGTAAATTTAAAACAAGTTTAAAACTTACTCTTGCATGAGAGCACCAATGCAGCCAAATACCCACAATGCACAAGTAAAGTTCGTCATCTTGTGAACTATCTAAAGCCAAAGCAAAAACTCTGCGTGCAGACAAGATAGGGGAAGCTCTATTTATGTGTTTTGAAAAATGTAAAATTCTTAACAACTTGATGGCGATAACATGTTTTTCCTGCTAAGTATCTTTGATCAATTAACTTGTTTCAGCAAATCTTGAGTTATGAATAATTTATTCTTAAATTGTGATAGCCACTTAATTTTTGACTATAAGCATGAAGTAAACTGAGCTTTTGTGCCAGATTGATTTTATACTTACTAGGGAACTATGTTTTATACAAAGTTCAGTTTGAAAATTGCTCGCCGCTATATTTTTTATTGATTAATAGCATATTAATTGATAAAATATCAGACGGATAACTTCGAATAGATTTTATTTAGGAAATGCAGAACACCAGAATATCTCTTTATGATTCATAAAACATACGAAGAGCAAACGTTAAAACCTTCAAACTCTAAATAAAAATTATACAATATTTTAGTCACGTTATTTTGACCAACAATGCTGCTAAACTATGAAATACATGATTAAGAGTAATTTTTTAGTAGATGTAAAGATTTAAAGTAATAATATAGCTGGTTTGTTATGATCAAATTCAATTAAAGCGTTTTTCGAATTACAATTCGTCCTACTACTGAATAGTAATATTCTGGAATGTTTTATTGGGGTCTGCCTTTCATTATCCAAGTGTGTACACTTATGTATGTATGTATTCTTCACAAATTTGTTCAAAACATAATTCGTTTTTGTGAACAGATAAAGACAGTCGTGCATTTAGAAACTCAAAAACAAAAAGATCAGAAAAGTTCTTTGTTGTTATGCATTTTTCAACGTAAGTGCAGAATTCTATACCGTCCAACGAAATTGCACATAGTTGTTAATAATAAAATGTTATCGTCATGGAGATAAGAGCAAGAAGGTTTTATAGTATTTGTTAGAACTTTCTAATATGGTTATGAATCAACATGAAAGATGAGCTGACAATCAAAACAGAATGAAAAATGTACCAGAAGCACATCTTCAATCAAGATAACTGTTCTTTTGGCGATCGGTTTGTGATATATAAAAGGCACAATAATACCTTCACATCATAAACTATTTATTATAAGTCAATTGTTAAATTTCTGGTATGTTAAATGATAAAGCAGGTATATTAAGTTTTGAGAAAATATTTTTGTTAATATATCACCACTTTTTCACGAGGGTACATTCAAACGGCGTCAAAGTTTGCAATTTTATTCTAATGCCAAAGTCCATTATGAAAAGTGAAGAGGCAGCTAAAGCCGTTTATCTTCATATAGGATGGAAAAACTCAATCAAATAAAAATTAAACATTGTACAAAGAATTAATTATTTTGGTTATCTTTGAAATAACAAAATGAATTTATCGCAATTTTGAAGGCTTTTCTGTAGCATTTTTGTTTAAGTATGTATGTAATTAACTTTCATTAACATATCTATAACTTTATACTAACGACAACTTCCTTTAGCACCATTCATACCTGACTATTCAATTTTCTAAATCAAAAGTGTATAAACTCAATTAAAAAAACAACAATTTTATAGACTTTATTATTTCAATCACCTCATTTCAGATTTTTTCTTGCTTCTGTGCTTCATATATATTTGTTGTACAGATTGCCTGCCCATTACTGGACGTTAGTATTGTAAAGAAACTGCTGCTTCTGCATTTTTCATTTCTCCATGAAAACACTGCTCAATTAGCAATGCCATTGGCATTACATATAAACTGATAAAAGGATTCAAAGAGGATGCTTGTAAATCACTGGTATAATTGCTTTTTGCTATCATGAATTAAGTATTCTCAAATTACAAAAGTATTTTACATAAACGTTTTGTTCTAGTAAACAGATAATACAACAACTTATACATACATTTTAAATTGACGTAGTATATAAACAAAAGAGGAGTAAAGTTAACATATAAGCTACGAATACATCTCCAGAAAAATTTTGGTATTGAACTTATTGATACACACGTTGTTGTCACGGAGACAACAACAGAGTTTCGTGAATAAAATTTTGTACATCGATCTGTCCAGCATTTATTACTTTTAAGAATTACAAAATACGTTAATGTGTTAACGTAATAAGAAATGCAAAAATAAAACTTCAATGAAAAATATTTGTACAACTAGTCTGCTCCACAGAAATTACTGGTTTGATATTCAGTATAAGGAATGCGTAATTAATGAAGTGTTTACATTCTGGTAGATTCAGAAATAAAACAGGTATGTTAAATAACGCCTGGAGAAGAATTTTCCAAAGGTATAACAAAAATTTCACACGTAGGGTTACAAGTTTTGTTAAGTTGTGTTACTAAAATAGAGTAAGAAAAAACAGAGAGGCTAAAACCTTTTATCTTCTTAAAAAAAGAAATACTAAAATGAACAAAGGTTGAATTTAAATGATGCAAAGTACTTTGACGCCATTAAAGAACAGTCAAAACATTAAAAATATTTTATTGCAAATTAACGCTAATTTATCTTGTTTCTTTCGTAATTCCTTCGAAGCACATATCTCTGAACCAACATCAACATAAACTATTAACCTTGCTCATTCTTAAAGATCTTTCTGAACGCGGATTGCTCGCACTTGAATCTGTAATTGTTTGTTCAAAGAGTGCAATTGAAAAATTTCAGCAATACAACAGCATTAATACTAATACATATACTACAACAGCATTATTACTAATATAATGCTGAATTTTTTTTTAGATTATGAAATTTTCGGACTATATCATGAATTATTACTGGTTTATGTAAATGATTTCGAACCCAATCCTCTAGATGTCTAACTACCGTGTCACTCCATCTTGAAAGGTAGCAAAAAGCAAATCTCAAAATGAAAAACAATCTAATGTTCAGATTTCATTGAATTCGCTTACAGAGTCAAATACCACAACGGAACTGTTTGCATTACAAGAGAAATCACATTAAAACTAATAAGCAATCAAAATTTGTAACTTAAGACAATCTACCTGTCCACTGTTCAGTCTACAATGCGTCTTCCTGTCTCTCAGCTTTTTAGCGTTCATCAATCAACGTATCTATAGAGCAAAATCTAATTTTTGCAAATTATTTAATCATAAATGTGCATGCATATGTTTGTTTAATAACGTATAGACCTAAGACTTTAAGAAAAACTTCCCTAAGAAAATTACCTGGAAAAACTCCATTGATTTGGAATTATTCGATCTGTTCATTGTTTTGACTCAAGAGAGATACTGACTCAGTAACCATTTTAGAAGAAAACAAGGCATGTCGTTTGTGTCATGTATTCAGTCAAAAAATAAACAACACGCGGGCATTAAGCACACAACTTAAAATATTTCGGCATATGTCAAATAAAGCTTGTATTTTGATATCTTGAAACGTCCCAATACGAATCAATATAGCAGCATAATAACTAAGAAAAAATATTTGGTTCTTTCGAAGTATAAATTGAAAATAGAGTAGTTAAGGCTTGTTGGAATTTATGTATGGATTGAATTTAATTATTTTCAAATATATAATCATCAAGCATTACAAATCAAGTCACTTGGCTTTGGTTCACAAAGTCTAACACTTTCTTCACTTAAAGTATTTATGTTCTATATGGAATTTATTAAAAGCTTAATTTAAATTGTCTCTTGTTCTGTATAATCTGTAGTTTTCAAGATTGTGAAAAATATATGGCACAAATACAAAGAGCCAAGCAAAGAGAAGTTTGTTAAACATGTTTAGATAAGACTGTAAGGTTGTATTTCTTGAATGCGTTGAAAAGCATTAAGTAATGACCAAAAACTAAATCGCGTAAAGACAGAAAAGCTGTTTACATTACACTTATTTATGTTTGGATTTATAACACAAAATTTATTTAAGGAGCATTGCAGAAACCACAAAAAATACCTGCTTGTAATTTTTAATGATTTGTATGAGGGCCTTTTTACTCTTTTTAACAAAGTTTCCGAATGGGTTCCATGGTGGTTAAATTTGAAGAAAGGAATTTGATGAAATAATTCATGAAACCGTTGTACTTCTTTTACCGATGTGGGGTACGCATTTACATGTTCGCCCTCATTTTCTCTAGGCTGATCTTCATTCCGTTTCTGATCAAGAAATATGGCCTGTGAACGCTATATTCTCCATTTTAAGTTTGAGCTTGCCAGGGCTGAGCATAATTCTTCCTTCCCCCTCTTTCTTTCATTGATCAAGGATATTCATCAAACATAAAATCATGGTCTTCTCTGTCGCAATCCTTGTGCCATCAACACCATTTATAAAATAAACACAATGAAACGCGTGCGGTGATTAGTCTAGAGCCGTGTTTACATTTACCTTTGCAAAACACATCTGAGCTCAACCAATCAAATTAATCATAACAATCCATTAGTCAAAGAGAATTTGCAAATCGATCATGAATACATTTTAGAGGAGAAATTAAAATTTTTGTCTTTTTCGCATTATCATTATTATATAAAAGAAATAAAAGATGTTTTTCGTGTTTGCACTGGCTTATGCAAGCCTCAGAGACGTTTGTGAGAACTCGAAAGCAGGTGCTTTTTGACCTTTTGCATTGCGACTAACTAAGGCTTGGTTAAATTATTTTGAAAGATCTCGACTCTCAGGACTGAGAGACTAAATTCATGGTATCCGGAGCCATCTGCAGCGAGTTTGGGAAGGGAAAATAATTGTTAGCATGCAAGATTCAGTGTTTGAGTTGTAGTGAAAATATGACAGAGTTAATTGTGGAGAGAACTTTTCCATTAGAAGATTCACCAAGATCAAGGACAGGTAGCTGAAAGCACTCACTCTGGAGTAATTTCAGCATTTGGCAAAAGAGTGGATGTTTAGGTGCTTTAAATCACTCTTTGCTAAAGAAAATAAGACGTTGAAATCATCATTCAAAATTTACACCCTTTCAGTCAAAAATCTGAAAATGATCTCAAAGCTTACAGTAAATAAAGTATGTACTCATAGTCAGATCCAACATCATATATGGTAAATCAATTCTTGACTAAACGGTCTGAACCCCATGTGATTCAGTGTGGTTCATCAATACAAGGATTAGCCAAACTATAGAAACGAACAAACATCATGTTACATTTCGTGTATGAAGGAGTTTGAGTGTTCCCTTTGATGCTTCTACAAAGTTGATTGCACCAACTTGCTGTAAAGATTATGTGCAGAAAATTAGTGTAGTCAACTGTGTCGACGAGAGCCAAGAAACGTATTTGTTTCAAAACTTGTGTGCAAATTCATTTTTCTGGTTTTATTAATGGTTCACTCTAGCCAACGTTGGTTGATGGAGGCTCTATAAGGATCATGCCTATGCCAAGTAAGGTTGTTTAACATTGTAAATACCATTCTATGCATTTATGTGCCCATTACCCAAAATGCTGAAATAAAACGTTAAATGTGGTGATGTGTATTTAACTATTAACTTATATTCTCTGCTGATAACTTTGTAAGTGAATTGTATTTCAAATGAAATAAGTAGGCCTAAAATGAATATATGAATATACAACCACCGACCTAACCATCCTCACTCCCCAATGAACGTTATGCCTCTGCTTGAATGACAGCTATATACAGTGTTTAAAAAACTGGAGAACACTGATTGATACATACATATTGAATTAGTTTGCTGCATAAATTTAACAGTATTCTATAAAATTCATATCAGTTTCATGCATTGTCAAAGCCAATACTTCCCAAGGGAATGAAATAAGACCTGTCAATGCTGTTTAATTTATGCAGCAAAATAACTAATTCAATCTGTATGCATGCATAAGCGTGTTTCGACGAACAATTTCGTTGTTTTTGAAGTACCTTATATATGTCATTACAACAATTTCACACATAGAGAGAATACAAAGATGTAACCAACTCTAATAAATTGTGTCTAACTTCAATGTGTGTGTGCTTCGATGTAAGAGAATATATTTTCATTTTCGGCTAAGATGATCATCTATTGATGGACAGTTGACAGCAGTTAACTTAAGTGACTTTAGACGACTTCATGCAAGGATGGTGATTATTTTGTCGTAGGAAACACATTGGTAGGGTGCTTGAGACTTCATGCAAGGATGGTGATTATTTTGTCGTAGGAAACACACTGGTAGGGTGCTTGAGACTTCATGCAAGGATGGTGATTATTTTGTCGTAGGAAACACACTGGTAGGGTGCTTGAGACTTCATGCAAGGATGGTGATTATTTTGTCGTAGGAAACACACTGGTAGGGTGCTTGAGACTTCATGCAAGGATGGTGATTATTTTGTCGTAGGAAACACACTGGTAGGGTGCTTGAGACTTCATGCAAGGATGGTGATTATTTTGTCGTAGGAAGCACACTGGTAGGGTGCTTGAGACTTCATGCAAGGATGGTGATTATATTGTCGTAGGAAACACACTGGTAGGGTGCTTGAGACTTCATGCAAGGATGGTGATAATTTTGTCGTAGGAAACACACTGGTAGGGTGCTTGAGACTTCATGCAAGGATGGTGATTATATTGTCGTGGGAAACACACTGGTAGGGTGCTTGAGACTTCATGCAAGGATGGTGATAATTTTGTCGTAGGAAACACACTGGTAGGGTGCTTGAGACTTCATGCAAGGATGGTGATTATATTGTCGTGGAAACACACTGGTAGGGTGCTTGAGACTTCATGCAAGGATGGTGATTATTTTGTCGTAGGAAACACAGTGGTAGGGTGCTTGAGACTTCATGCAAGGATGGTGATTATTTTGTCGTAGGAAACACACTGGTAGGGTGCTTGAGCCTTCATGCAAGGATGGTGATTATTTTGTCGTAAAACACACTGGTAGGGTGCTTGAGACTTCATGCAAGGATGGTGATTATTTTGTCGTAGGAAGCACACTGGTAGGGTGCTTGAGACTTCATGCAAGGATGGTGATTATTTTGTCGTAGGAAACACACTGGTAGGGTGCTTGAGACTTCATGCAAGGATGGTGATAATTTTGTCGTAGGAAACACACTGGTAGGGTGCTTGAGACTTCATGCAAGGATGGTGATTATATTGTCGTGGAAACACACTGGTAGGGTGCTTGAGACTTCATGCAAGGATGGTGATTATTTTGTCGTAGGAAACACACTGGTAGGGTGCTTGAGACTTCATGCAAGGATGGTGATTATTTTGTCGTAGGAAACACACTGGTAGGGTGCTTGAGCCTTCATGCAAGGATGGTGATTATTTTGTCGTAAGAAACACACTGGTAGGGTGCTTGAGACTTCATGCAAGGATGGTGATTATTTTGTCGTAGGAAACACACTGGTAGGGTGCTTGAGACTTCATGCAAGGATGGTGATTATTTTGTCGTAGGAAACACACTGGTAGGGTGCTTGAGACTTCATGCAAGGATGGTGATTATTTTGTCGTAGGAAACACACTGGTAGGGTGCTTGAGACTTCATGCAAGGATGGTGATTATTTTGTCGTAGGAAACACACTGGTAGGGTGCTTGAGGTCCTCTAAATTGTAGAGTCTGGACTAAAGATTTTTACAATTATATCCAAGATCTGCAGCGGTAAGTTTTCCAATATCAATAATATGTATATTTTACATCAAAATATAAATCTCATGAGAGTATACTGATTTTACTTAACAGATAATTGGTGTGTTGAGTTGAGAAATGTCAATTATAGAAGCTCCAATGCTCAATTAATGTAATGTTTAAGTCTCTTTTACTATATTTGTATTTACGTTTTGCCAAACTACTCCAATACAAAGAGAGTTTCTCAATAGTTACCTGCTAGTGTATGGTTGTTTTAGAGCCTAAATTTTTTATGAATTAAGGACATAACAGAGACTGGAGATTGGGCTATAAATATAATGGGAGGCTCAATACTCTATGTTTTGTATGATCTCCGAACGTTGTGAAAACAAACTACTACAGTCTACAGGGCTTGACATAATTTTAACTGTTCTGCAGTTTATAAAGTTGATGTAAATGACCTGTGTCTAGCGAACCTCTAGGGGTTGACTAATATCAGTGACATTTGGTGATGTGTGTATAGAAGTGATGTACTCATTTATGTACATATTATTCGGTCAAATGGATGAAATTGTGAAAAAGAAAGAAACAATCTGGATAGCCAAAGTTTCACTTACTTATGATTGATGAATCAAAAAATTAAAAACGAGAAGATTTCAAGCATGGCGGAACAACATTTTATGATAGGAGCACCAAGTTTATGAGCAATTTTTTTTCCATGGTGACTTTTCCAGTATTTCAACTGGTTATGATGGGATTTTTGTCTAATGAAGTTGTAGCTTTTTTGTCGCATTTAAATTTTTTTGCAATTCATTATTTATTCAAAACCTTTGTTTAAATGTTAACATATTTACCATATTTAACCATATTTACCATTTACCACAATACATTAACAGTAGAATAACACAGTTTGTTCATATATTCTTCATTGACGCAGCTTTTTACAATGTTTTGAGTTGGTAAAGTTTTGTGACCTCATAGCGATCAACCGACCTCTTCAAAATCTTAACTTCGTCAATATATCCTGCATGAAGATCTTGTCCATAAATTCTGCCACCAATAACCACATCGGAGTTGCTGCTGACGATGTTACCACGACAACAAAGGCTATCGATAAGAGCGAGACGATTGTTGTGGTAAAATGAGACAGTGTGTCCGTCATACGTCATCACGAAATGATGCCAGTGATCGATGAATGGCATTGTGATGTTGTACCAAGATTTCCTGGATTGTGACGTGACTAAAGTAGCTCTTATGGTGTCCATTGTCCCACCGTTATTGGAAACAAGGATTCCCCAACTTCCAGTAGAATCACTTTGATTATTGATGAAGTTGGTGATAATATTGCTTGATATACCACCTGACTTTTTGAACCAAATACTGATTGTTAAACTTGAAGCCCACTCATATCCATTTAGAGTTGGTACATGTAGCTCGGAAGAACGCGAATTGAATTTGGCAGCTCCACGAACGATTCCACTTGATGATTGCAAAACATCTTTGGATTTACCATAATGTAAGGCATTATTACCTTGGCATACATCTCGCAATGACTTGTCAAATTTGTAATACGCGATAATATCCTCGTTACATTCATTGTTTTGAATGTATTGACCTGAAATGTAAAATGGAATTTGAAGACTAAATTATCGTTAAGTACATCTTTTGCAAAGGATACTCAAAGAATACTTGAGGGATACTGAAGGGATATTCAAGGATAGTCAAGGGATACTCAAGAGATAATCAAGGGATACTCAAAAGACATACAAGGAGCACTCAACAGTATATTCATATGCATTTCATGCGTTAATTGACTCTATCTTGTACAATGTATATTGATGTAGAAAACTAATTTGAAAATGTGTATCTTGTTATTTGATCTCTTATCAAATTACTTATGCAAAAGCATTAATTGATGCCATTTGATAACGACTGTCACAAGTTTCTTCACGAGATAAACACGTTTGCACGAGATGAATCATAAATTTAAAAATAAAACTGTAATTTACACGATTATATAAACTAGTATGGCAAATACAAACTAACTTTTCATGAAGTTACAAGTAAAGTTACAACTTCTTCTATCAACTTTTTATTTTTATATAGTTTTAATTTTAAGCATTTTAATGCACAGCTGGGTAGGTTTAAGGTAGAACAATACAAAAACAAACGAAAACGAAAATTCTTTGTTACCTTTAGAATAATCATAATGCTACACATACATTCAAGGGATAATAATTTTACAACATATCAAACAAAAAATACTTTTAAAGCCTTTTTAAAAGTCAAGCGCTCAAAAAATGTTGCACAAATACTTGCAGGAGTTTATCACGAGATTCTTTTATGTTTTAAACACGTATTTAACAAATGCTTCTTTTACGCGCATTATTTACTGCTTTTCTGGAGAAAATGAGTGAAATAATTATAATTGTGACTGACAATTGCAAAATTGTTTTGAACTTTACGAGGACATTGCTGTGAACGAAAACAACACAAAAAATTACCGGTCATACGCAAGTATATCTGTGCAGTATATCAGGGTGTTCAGCAATCAAAGAAACAAGATAACTTATGATTCTTTGAAAGGAATCTATGAACTTTATTTTATCTTACACGTAAAAAGGAAGTTTGTGACAACAGTTTCTTTCTCGTCAGAGTAGAGTTTGAATGCACAAATCTTACCTATAGCGTCTTTAACAAAGCTCCAACTGCTCCATGATAAGGACGAAGCACTGCTGATGATCATACACACCACAATGATGTTTGCAATTATAAAAGATTTTGCCATTTTTTTTTGCAGGTCATCTAGTATTGTCGCAACTGCTCGTTAGCAATGAAATATAATCAAAATGCAATTGATATAAATCCCTTGTTTACTGACGTAACCTCATACAACCAGAACTGGGTCCCATTCCTCTGGCTTTCTTCTGTCACGCTGACATTTGATAAACAATTTTTATTTTTCTTTTGTCAAATGATACTTGCCAAAGAGTAATTTTACAACATAAATGCATGGAAATTGATGTCCTGTAAAGTAAGCTTTTGCAAAAATTAAATTTATTTGAATAGAGGGAGCAATTATTCCAAGTACGAATATGCACACGAGAGAAACCGAAAACTGAGATAATATTGCAAAATAATCTCTTTTATATCGACTGCAGGCTATACATATTACATATGTTATTCGAAACCACCTTGAATGACTTTCACGAAGTGGCTTGGCGAATGTAAAATTCCTCATTTGCCCCATGAACTTGAATCAACAATATAAAACACAAATGTAGTTAAATATCGCTGCTTGAAAGAAGCTTGTGATCAGAATCGCCACATGATCGTTATGAGAACTTTATCAAAATTTTCATCTGTAAAATATGCTATCTTGCTGTCTATTTTTTGCATTAGATAATTAACTGCAAAACGAGTACAAATCAATATCCTTTACGCAAAACATATAAAACATATTTTATTTTAGTGATAATTTCAACAACTGAGTAATTAAATTAATTAAGAATACATTGACTGTCTATATAATTCCCCGTAAATTAATTCCAATCATGCAATTACCTGATCATTGTCAATAATTCTGACTGTACCATATATCTCCAAAAGTAATTTAGTAAAGCAAAGTGCTCTATAAAAGGGATAGAAAAATAATCATGAATGTAATTATAGGAAAAAGAACTCAAATTATTAATTAATAATTAATAATTTTTTTCATAAAAACATGTTGAAGCACGGAATAAAACAGACAAATTTCACTTTTTAATACCGTAATTACCAAAATGTTTTTGTGTTTTGGGGAATAATTCATGATGATTTTTATGATTGCAAGATCAAAAGTCGGGATTGTTTTTAATACTACTTTGTAATACGACCTTTGACTTTGTGAAATCTTGTTAGGTGAATTGTAGTAAAGAGAATTCTAGTTAGGTGAATTCTAGTTACGTGAATTATAGTTAGGTGAATTATAGTTAGGGGAATTCTAATTAGGTGAATTGTAGTAAAGAGAATTCTAGTTAGGTTAGATCGAGTTAGGTAAATACGTTATTAATTCGTCTTACAAGAACAATAGAAGTTGAGGAAAACATGGTATTACATAATTAAAATCTGATAAAAATTCAACACAAGAATGAGTGTGGTTTTATAACAAACAAGATGCTACAAAGGCAAGTATGTCATATACTTCAACGCACACAATTCTCATTTAAGTATAAATACTATTTGGTATCTTTGACAAAACTCTTTCAGTTAAATTTATTACAATTCAACCAATTTTAATATTTACCTGGAATATTTAACCCAGTATGGATGCTGCTCCATTTTTTCGTTGCCATTTCCTTGCTATTTGTCGGAATTTAGAAAAACGCCTTGGCATTCTTCGAGGAAAAAGTGGGGAATGACGTGGCCATGTCTTAAAAAACTTGGGGGAACGGTGTCGTGATTGTCCCGAAAACTTAGGATACTTTTGGTACTTATTTGGCCATTTAAGTCCAGGTGACTTTGAGTTTGGTGACAGATTTGCACGTCCAAAAGCAAGATTCTGTAGAAAAATAGCAAAAAAGTTTCAATTCAAGAATTACCATACGACAATTTAAAGACGCCAAATATTTTAAAAAACATCACTTACTACAGGTCAGTAAAACGTTTAGGGGATTAGGAATGAATGACAAAAAATTAGTTGTTTGTTGAAACATGCATATATATTTGCAATAAATGAAAAATTTGTAGACGGCTACGACGAACAATAGCTACGTATCCAAAAATTCAAAAATTAAACGAGACTTAACTGTGAATTGAAGTTTCATTGCAATTCTGAGAGTTACTGAGCAAGGAAGCTAAGGAGTCGCGTGATTCCTTAGTGGCGTAGTCAAATTACGAAATAGAATAAAAGTTTTATGTCACTGTAATTGATTATTTTAAACCCCATTGTTTCTCCTTAGTCATTGAAATGAAATCTATGAGCATGACGAAAAACCAACGACATAACCATTATCGAAACAAAGATGACAAACATCACCACGATCTTCATATTATTAAAAACTATAATGCTTAATGTTGGTTCCACGAGGTGATTATAAACACACACAAAATTGGAAACGGGAATCTTGATGTCACATAGTCCAACTCATATCATAATTTCAAAATTCTCATGAGTTTTTCTTAGCCTATCTGTAGGGTTTGGAGGAATTTGTCCCTTGGCAATAACCTAACCGATTTTAAAGGGGATCTTTAATCAAGGAGATCGGCAAAATACAATCGTACCCATTTAAAATCATGGCTGCATCGCGTGAACGCTTACCATAATCTATTTACAATAATCTATTCACAAACCTTCAGCTGTGACAAGAGGCCAGATCCCATTTGTTTTAAGCTTGAAACGAATGGAACACCTTGTATCTAAAAAAACATGAACACAAAATGAGCGATGCTGTTTTTACTCCCGCTATACATGCAGTGTAAATTTTGATGTCTCAAATTTAAAATACGAATGATTTCTATAGTTAATTGCATTCATTCTTTTCCCAATAAATGAACATTATTATATGCATGTGTTTTGAGAATAAAAACCAGGCTGATTTTGCTAATACATCATGGAAAAAGGTCCAAATTGTAATAAGCCTTGTACGTTTTGAGACAAACGATTTCAGCAACAGTTTCGTTTGATCTTCATGTACTTAAACATGATTATCATTTTCCATGTTAGTAGTATCAATGTGCATAGTTTTGTCGTGACATATTTATTAGTATATGTACTTTCTGTTTTCAGAAGATGGCAAACTCACCTTGCATTGTCTCAAGCACTGAAATTTTACGTCGTTAGGATTAAGTAATCTGAGGCGACACTTGAAATCCCAGAAACCACATTTCATATTGGAGTTACATGTTTTCTGAAATATATAAATATTGCTACTTGTTCTGCATTAATGTCCTTTACATACAGCTGCACTTGTATTACGTATTTTTTACTTTAATTACTTTAATGCAATATGAACACTGTTCTACGCAAATCTGGCTTTTTCATGTAAAAACAAACTAGTCAAAATAACCAAAAAATATTACTCTTTTCAATGCACTTGAACAAACCAATTATTATGGTAGTTTTAAACATTTTATTTTCATTGATCATAGTTGGTAGTATAGCCGGGCTGATACCTTAAAGTAATAAGGTATTGCAATTTAAGCATTGTAAAGAAAAAATAGTATTAGATAAAATTGTATTAGTTTTGTGAGGGAGCTCTTGGTTTCTACCCAAAGACTGTCTAGCATTTACTTTTTTCTTCAAAACAATGAATGTTATAAAAAGATTGTTACAGCCATTGTATGTATGAGCACAGAGATAATTTTTGGTGTTCCTAAAAGTGTAGCAAAGGTGCTTAAGACAAAATGCTTGCACTTTGGTGAAAATAGACCAGAATGATTGAGAAAATTTAAAAATACCTTATGCAGAACAACCCGATATCACATACCAAAGATTCTACATTTGCAATAGATACGAGACATCTTAATACATACTTACCATACACTTGAAAAATTTGTTGAATTTTTTCAAATGTTGGTCCTATAAAACATAAAAAGTTGAAACAACGACATCAAGACGACCATACATTTTAGAAAAAAACATACCTTGCAGTTCTTGGTGCATGATACTAAAATATCATAACACTTGTACACTCCTCCGCTGCTTTCCAAGCATTCGGCAAATGCTTCTCCGCATTTTTTCTATTTTATAAAATAAACTTAAAATCAGCCCTTTTTTCCTTTGGCATGTATACTTGCGTGGTCATTGAAAAGAGGGAAACTCTTATCTAGTGGTAATAGGGGGCTTGTGAAAGAAAGAATATATTTAAAAACTTGCTAATTGTTCAAAAATTAAAACCAAGTTACTGATGCTAATCCCACGAGTGCGTAAGCATGGACAATTTAATCAAATTTCATGCTTTGCCAAATGTGTTAGAAATGATATTGAATTATCAGGAGCTAAAACGCATGTATGTGAGCAATAATGGTGATAACTGCATGACTATGTTAACGTCTAAATGGTATAGAGTATCGAATGGCCTAAGGGTCGATCATTCTGCTTATAAATATATATATATATCTAATCAAGCAATGCTTTCTATATTGGTTGCAACAGCTAAGAGCTTAAGTTGAGATATTGACAATTGATTTAGCCATGGTAGGCATGGTTACATGAATACGTTTTATTAAAAACAAATTAAACCGCCGGAAACATATGAAACTGAGCCAATTGCATAGGTGTAAATCCTGGGTTTGACCAAATTAAATACTGCTACCTTTTTTCTCGCAAAATAAATACTACGCCCTTTTTTTTGCAAATAAAATCCTCACCTCTATCTTAATCTTAAGAGCCAATTTGTGTCTCAATAAATTTGAGAAATTTTACTCACCTTGCATTCGACAGCTTTGCTTATATTTGGTAAATGTTTCTTCTAAAAAATAATTATAGACAATCAAAACTACATTATTACTATACATAACCATACAACGCTATTCTTACCTTGCATTTCATGAAACTTGATTCATACGTTTTATAACATATATCTTTATCTTTGCTGCTCTTCAAGCATTTAATAAACGATTCTGTGCAATCTACCTGTTTGATGAAACAAATTTTTAAAATCAGCCAACTTGTTTCATTTCATATTGTCTTACATGCATAAACTTTTTGCTGCAGAAATGATTTTAGAGCATCAATTCAGACCTTTATTAGCACGAAAAATATGGATTAATAAAAGTTTGAATCGAAATACTCAAATTTATCATTCAAAATTTAAAAAACAAACCACTTCCCTTTCAATTATGATATATTACTAGCAAAAATAAAAAGGCGTTTATAACCATGTGAAGCTGGTCAGTTGGTTGTCGTTTAGTTTTTTGTCGTTTTTTGTAGTCGGAAAAGATTTACAAGAATAGCTTTCGTGGGTCTCATGGCAAAGATACTTTTAAAGTAAACGGTTTGAACCCGGGAGTATCTTTACATGTTTGTAAATGTAGATCGTCTAGGTTGGTATAGTCCTGAGAAGGATTGTTTTTGTTGTTGTTGACTGACGTTTCGACAACCTTAGCGGTAGTCGTCTTTATTTTGACTCTGGAGAGCTTTCGGGGGTCTCATGGCAAAGATACTTTTGTTAAATCAAGCCCATAAAATATATACTTGTTTACAAATCATCGTACTGTTTAAATTAACAGCAGTAAAATGAGATTAGAGTTGATTGCACATTATTTTTACAATTGCAAATGATAAAATTTGAACCAATTGAACATATGCAAGAATTTGTTATTTGGGAGCACTAACCATACATTCTTTGAATGGTGAAATGGAACTCATTGGATAAGAATCGCTCTAAAATTTTAACGAAATTTGTCCGTTATTTGTAAATTGATAAAGATATCCTTCATTAAATTTTTCCATGCGTGTATGAATAGTTACCTTGCATTTCATGACGCATAAAGGCATCTTTTGAAAACACATAGAGAAATCTTCTGTACTATTTAAGCAGTTTATCAATTCATCGGTACAGTTGTGCTGTTGAAAATAAATGCGAATTATAAATCACTAAAAAGTCTAGTAAGTGTTTACAAAGACTTCAAAACAAAAGAACACTTTCGATTTTTAAATACAATATAAACGTTTTTGACTTTTAAATTGGTATACAAATGCTTAGCGGTGATTGGAATCTTCTGATTGGTTGACTCAATCATTTCAGATCATCAACAACAAACAACATTGTTATTTTAGAAAATTTGCCGAAGTAATAACTTACCATACAAGTCATGCCAAGAGTGTTGTTCGCAGTGAAGTTCTAGAAATACGGATGGTAAAAAACTAAAGATGGTAAATCTGTAAATGAACCATAATCCAGGTCTACACTCGTGACGCCACTTTTGAAGCTCAGTATTACTGTGGCTTACAAAATTGCATTCAAGACCAATTTTTTAAGCTTAAGATGGATGGTTGAGATAAAAATTGCAAACACAAGAGTAATACTTCTCGAAGCCGTGAAAATTAATAAAAATTGTCATAAAATGGAAATAAAGTTTAGCAACTGTATAATTATTGTGATGAAAATTGAAATTAGAACAAAAGCATTAACGAAAGCTTTCAATAACTCGTAAGAATTTGTTTTCTTTTCGCATTAAATCCTTTGATTACGAGCATATTTCATAAAAATGGCTATCGGGCTTGGGTCACAAAACTCCGTGGTGAAAATAAAAGATGACATAGCGAGAGCATAACAGAGCAAAACATGAAAGTTTCAGCTGACAGGTAGTTTTAAAAATTGGTTGTAATTCATCGGTTTTTCTCAGAATTTTAGCTAAAAGGTCCTTATGAATATTATCGTTTTTGGTACATGACTTATGTACTGCCATTCTTTATAAAATGCTCATATACCAACCCATAGTGAGTCAAATCTTGTGCAACATTATTAGCAAAAAAACATTTCATATTATTCATGCTATGAGCTTAACTTTGTTGATTTGCCATTACCAACCTGCCGACAATCATTTATGCAGAGTTTAGCTTGCTCCACACATTCTTTAGGAGATCCTTGCGTCATAATGCACTGCGACACAGACATAAAGCATTTTTTCTGAAAGACATATTATTTCTATTGATTTGGCCTCAAACAATTTCATATCTTTTCATAAATACTTACGATACACATCTTTTTTGGATGCATTGAGAACGGATAATGCTCCTGTAAAGAAAAAGATTTGAAAATTTTCATTTCTACTTACACGATGCATATGTTATGCAAGTTATATTAAAAAAATACTTCATGTTTTTATTAGTCATTAGGCGGAATTTAAGCCACGTTTCAGCCTCAGAACTATGAAAATGACCACCACTAAAGTCATCCAAACTCATAAGTCAACAGCAAAAGTCTTTCTCAGAACTCTCAGAACTATGAACATGACTACCACTAAGGTTGTCCAAACTCATAAGTCAACACCAAAAGTCTTTCTCAGAACTTCACTAATGAAATTGAATAACATCTACAAGCATGTAACAATATACTTTTATAAAAGTGTCTCATGTGACTAATACACAGTTATGCACAGTCTTTTCCTGAGCACTCAAAGATCATGCTTTCCTACACCTAATTATCAAAACTAAAATGATTTTTTAGTTTTGCTTTACCTTATCTAAAGCTAATAATATGGGGAAAATGTTTGCCTTTTTTATTTTTCTCAAACATACCAGAGTAAAAATATGAAATATTATCTGTCTGATTACTCGTTATTAAATTTGAATTTCCGACAATTGTTTGAAAAAATGCTCTTACAGAATTTATTTGGAACTAACCTTTCTTTTTTTACATGTCTTCATACACGTTACAAGAGAATTATAGTATTTGCCGACTTCACCTTTCGTTATATACTTCATGGCTGTGTCCCTGCATTTCTGTATGATAAACAAAGACGAATCCACGTATTCAGTTAATTTCCGGAGTATCAATCTTCCATTATATATTATTTGGCTATTGTATATTTAACATTGATAATAAAGTTTATATTTATAAAGTTAATTTGAATGTAATTTAGAGTAAACTTAATGTTGACGTTATGAAATAACAAGTGTTCTGTGTAGCTATAAAAGTTATCTGTTGTTGTCAAAAAAGTAAGCTACTTCCTTGTCTTATCGTGTAAAGTACGCAAGAAATGCACGACTTCAATAATTGAAAAAACTGTTGAGATTATGTAGGAAGTTGTGTTGTGATACTGTGATATAATACTGTAATATAATACTGTGATCATTATGAGCACCACTATTATATTAAAGCATCACTTTTCTAATACAATCTTACGTTTTCTCCTTTTACTATTATATAATTAATGACATATAAAGAAAAAGTACAACTTAGACATAAAAACAATGGGAAGAATTTAAGAGTGCCCCAAAAATCTTCGAGAGTGCTGGCTGAGAAAAAATACATTTATATTATTTTCCATTTCATTATCTCGTCATTTTGAAATATTTTAAAAATATTGAAAAGAAAACCTTTTCAACCATAATAGCGAACTGGCAAGAGCGCAAAGTGAAATAGCAAAGATATGGCAATATAGGAAATCTGAATCAAACCTTTGAGCACTTTGCCTTTTCATACTCATCGTCTTCTTTTTGTTTATAACCAACCGTAACATTAAATGAATCTATCGTATCTTTCACAAGAGTATTCACTTCATCTGTATCCACACTAGTACCCATTCCACCATTAATGGGTTCATCTTCATCGTCATCAAAATCATCCTAAATGATTAAAACAGATATCTTCATCAAAATCATGTCGCTTTTATGAATTTTCAAGTGACATCAAGATGCTATTTTAGAGGAAAGATAAAAATCCCAAATCCATCTTTTATAGTCAATATACCATATCCTCATCCTTTTAAAATAATGACACAACTCACAGCACTATAGGGAGCAATAGGGATAAATGACACTATTGCTGGCAAAATGGATAAAAGGAAGGGAAGAATATGGATAAAGTAACAATATTGGGAGCAATAAGGGTATACTAAAAATATCTCTTAATAAGGTGTCAATAAAATGGGAAACGTTTTGCAATTTTGATGTAAATTACATCAAAATTGACATTCTTCTCGGTTGTCAAGGTCACGCGCAAGTTGTCAAAAATGTTTGCTATGCAGTTTGTTTGGATTTTTCGGTCCAATTTTCTAAAGTTTCAATGTAAATGAAATATTGAGAATGGTGTATTAAATGACTGTAATTCAAAGTAAACAAAGCAATTTTTGGCGGATACTTTAGCCTTGGTCAAAGGCCTTGGTAAACTGTTTACAAAATACAAAAGAAGGAACACTAATGCGATTAATTTGTTAAAAAGAGGAAGAAATACAAATGGCATTCAATCCATGATTATTTTTATATTCTTCATTATACAATAAATTTCGCTTCATGTCGAAGTAATTTGTTCGATGTGGCATAAGTTTCTTGAATGTACTAATCAAATCTTAACCTTGGACTAAAATAGTACTTAAGACTTGTACATACTTTTGTGATCTTTTCACGACTTATGTTGCGTGATGTCTATGTGTGAGATGTAATTCAATACACGCATGCAGAATGTGAATATGGATAGATTACATATTGGTTGTCGTCTGCAAATAGGTCTTCCATAGAGTTTTATCTGTAATGTTACACCTATGAAGCAAGTAGATTTCATCCTTTCTTTTTGTTTGTACAAACGTTTTGTGTGTTTTTCACACAAAAAAAAGTACGTTATGTGAATTTTTTTATTGTCACCTATTTATTGACACGTAACATATAGTGTCAATTTGCGCGCATGTAAAATTGTCTATCAAAATTGGTAAATATTGTAAAAGTACATTCATGCATTTGCATATATGTACATGAGTCGAAAAAGCAGAAATTGAACCTTCCTAAACACTTTGAAATTATCGAAATGGCGTACTATATTTCTAAAATTTATAATAGCGCGATGATGAGAAAGAATTGATTTGATGTTTACCATTCCATCATAAAAATACTTGAGTCTTGAAATACATAATCGTTTTGATAAAAAATGGCTTTTGAATAGGAAGATGAACAGTTTGATAATGTTTTCTTGAATATTTGCCGTAAAGATTTTCATTATCTTTATATAACAGTGCATTAAAAGTTACTTTAGTACGCGAGTCAATACATTAAAATAAAAACCTTGATATAAATAGTATATCAAAAACATTATATATTTTATAATAACAGTTGTTCTAACTGGTCAATCTGGCAATACGTCATGAACGATTTTTTGATTTTTTTACCTCGATCTCTTCTGTCGTTGGTTCAACAGTTACATATTTTAGAGATAGAACATTTGCAGTGAGAAGAACGCAACCAAAAATCACTAAAAGAGCAAAGGTCCTCATGATTTCGTGATATCGGAACCAGTATGACTAAAGAAAATGAATTTGACCGAGATTTTAAAGTGATATGCGATCCTGTTTACGTCTTTATTGGCGCAAATGACGCAAAGCCTCTCCTATAAATTTGTCAACACCACCAGCTGTGGTGAATAGCACTTTCTAATTTCAGCTGTCTTCATAGACATTTATAAAGCGTTTCATCTTTTGTTTGATACCAATGAACTGTCAAATAGAATCTTATTTTTTCAAACGACAGTGTGTATTGTATATTGTATTGAAAAATACGTTATAAAATAACAAATAAACACTTTTTTGATTGAAAGAGAATTAACATAAACCAGATGAGTTCGCTAAAAAGAGGACGAAATTTAGATGGACCCAAGCTGTGACTATTTTTATCTTCGTTATAGACGTAATTAAAATTATAAACTTTACATGTTTAAGTAAATCTTGTTTTTTTACTTATGCTAAAATTTATTACCCTTGATACAGATCTTTTGTTATATAGATGATATTTTCATAAATTTAAATTTAAACTTGCTAATGTTTTGATTGACGTAGCAGCGTTTGTAAAATTAAGCAGATTTAATTGCAACTCAGCTGAAAGTCGGGCTGATGCTTAAAAATTCGTGCGAAGCATTTAATTGCATTTTATGTTTCAATAAGTTAATTTTTGAACAAGTATGATCCGTCACAATTTCGTGTTTTCTTACAAAACAAGTTCGTTTTTGTTGTGTCTTCACATCATACAAAATCATATTGGTATTTTACTTAAACATCTTAAAATGATCATGACATATGATATCATTAAGTTTTCAGACAGAAAATAAGGTCTCTACTACTTCACCTTGCTATGAAGAACAAAGCTCATGCTAATTACGTATGCCAATGTTGCTATCGAGAATTCCTTTCTTAGAGCATTGTCATTGTTTGTATTTTTGTTTGAAGCCACAGCTGATGGCTATCAGTTCAGCTGTCTGATCCAGCAGAACAATTACTAGGTCAAGGTTAAACTCGACGTCAACCGCGGTAAGCTGCAGTCAAGCAATGTGACAGATTCGTTGGATTTGTTGTTTTGCAAAGTGCATGGAGTGTGATGCAAATTCCTGTAATCATTAGCAAAAATGATCAAAAACTTGAGAATTTGCTAAACTTCTTAATTTATCACCAACATTATAAAACATTTACATTCGCTATTTACAAATGTCTATATCAAGAGAACAGTAATCAATTCTCAGCACAGCAGCTTCTTGGCCATCCTTTTATCTCTAGAAATCCCATGTCGCACAGCTTAAGCAATAACATCACTTCAGATAAGCTTGACGCTGAAAAAGATCACGGTAGAAATGAAAATGGCTGCGATGATGAAGATAAGTCTCCTGATTTGATGCCTATTTCTTTCGGGTACGCTGCGAGAAATTTAAGATATCGAAATGAATTTGAGGTGTTGCAAATGCTTGGAGAAAGAATGGTTTGCTTCAGTTGTGAAGGTAACTTTTTAATACATACATCGTTTAAATAGACAGAAATTTGCTCATTTGAAGGAAATTTGTACTTGATTTAGAAATGCTTTATATACGCTTAGGTGCGTAATAAATTGGACGGCTATCTCTATGCGATCAAATGAATTCCTTTGAATCCGAAAAGTGTTCTGTTAAATCGCAAAATAGCTCGAGAAGAGAAGTTCCTTTGTAGTTTGAATCATGAAAATATTGTAAGGTAAAAATATATTTACTATGCAAAATGAATCAAAATTTTATAACATAAAGGTTGAAAGCGAGGTTCAATTAATACGATGCAAATTGCTTGTTTTATTAATTGTTATCTTTGTAAAAACTATTATAAAAAAGTAGATAATCCTTTTTTTCATGAAACCCATGAATGCTTATGTTCATGATGAGAGAGTTATATTGAATAAAGAGGCTCTCGTTCGTCACGAGAGAGTTTTTCAGTATCCTTGGATGTTCTAGTTTCTTTTACGAGATGAACAAAAAGATAAAATTCAAAAGCAAAAAACCCCGTTTTCGGCCATGCTTCCTGATACCTTCTTAAGCGCAAGGCACTAGAACGCTGCATGTTGACGTCTCGGTAGGATATTTCGGCCCCTCCACGCTATCCTACTTGGAAGATGCAATAGCAAGCCTCTGCCCATCAGATGATTTCTCTATTAAATTGTTACTAAGCATGCTATTTACTTCAAAATCGGTTCTAGTAGATGCAATTGGTCGTTGCCATGACCATAAACTTGGACAGCTAATCAATACGACTGCGCATGTTCAAGCCGACCGCGCATGCGCAGATGATTTATTTAAAAATTTATGTCTGAACCAGTTCATTATTCCATAATCGATACTAGTACGTACAGTTGGTCGTTCTCAATTAATTTGTGACCGAGCGAGCTCTGAAATTGGTGCTTGTATATGGGCTTAGCAAATTTTCAATAATGTATTTTTGGCATGCTCTTTGTCTTCTTAAGTTGTTTTGACGAATGCTTATCAATTTCATCAACACTTTGTTACGCCACTCGTAATATCTGTGACAATGTTAGAGATGTTTTCTTTTTCTCCATAACTTTGTATCTGTATATTTTGTGCATAAACAATGCTCTAATATATATGACAGATATTATAATTCGTGGATTGAGGTAGAAGAAATACTTGAAAATGAAACTTCCAACAGTGAAACAAAATCAAGCGTGATAGAGAATAAACAACGACGCCAGGTTTAAGATACCTTAATAAAATTGAACCTAGTTGTGCAAGCACCTAGTGTACGCTTGAAAGTTTTGATGTGGACTCGTTGATCAATGAAATTACAAATGATTCCAAGCATGTTGATGAAGATAAAAGCTTTAGCGAGGACGAGGCTCCAATACCAAAATAATCAATTAATAACACGGAGTCTACTGAGGAAAATGTGAGAAATATACGTTTAGCTCAATAAATATTTATATGAAGACTTACTATTTGCTAATTTTCATTAATTCCTTTTAAATAGAATAGGGTATGATTAAAACAAACGCGTTTGGACTTTTTGGTTTTCTTTTTTACATTTTAAGGTGTTTTTTTAAAAAGTTAGCTAATACAAAGGAAAAAGAGTTTGGTCTTTGGATGAATTGAAAAGCTCTTTTTGGACTTCTAAGTTCCATTTCATTCAATAGCATTTCCATGTAGAAAGTTATCCTTGTTGGAATATGTACTTGCAAATTATAATGATAGCCATGCTTAAAAACTTCCACCTAAGGCTTCCACTTGATAATGTGAAGAACATGAAGAAAAACAAGCATTAAATTGACGAAGACTTTATAGCTACTGTCTTTTATTGTCATATACTTTGTATAGATGTCTATATCCGGAGAACGATAACCAATGCTTAGCACAGCAGCTTCTTGGCTATCCTTTTATCTCTCCAAATCCCATGTCGCACGGTTTAAGCGTTAACATCACTTCAGATAAGCTTAATGGTGAAAAAGATCAAGGGAGAAATGAAAATGTTTGTGTTGATTGAGATGAGTCTACTGATTTGACGCCTATTCCTTTCGTCTACGCTGTAAGAAATTCAAAAGTTCGGAATGAATTCGAGGTGTTGCAAATGCATGAAAAATGGAAAGTTTGCTTCAGTTGTCAAGATAACTTTTTATTATATACATCGTTCATTTAGACGGTGAAAAATTGCTGATCGGCCTTCGTTTACCATTGAAGACCTTTGTATAATTTCAATGCCTGTTACTATGTTAAGCCCACAGATGGTTAAAATGTTGTATCGTTGATGCAAGCACAAAAGCTTTTTGTTTGCAAGTATAGAATTTTATTTACTGCTCTATGGGGATTAATTACTTCTAATTGATGAATCATGCAAATTCTAAAACTTGGCTGATTTCAAAGATTAGCAGTTTTTTGAGACACTGTGTATAGCCACAACCTAGTAACTGACCAATCAGAACACACCACGTTTACGACACACCTAGTCAATAACCAATCAGAACACAATAGTTTGTGAAACTTCAGCTATACTCTAAGACTACGAAAGAACATGCCATTTGAACGGGAACGTGAACGTGAACGCAAAAGTCGGTAGTCGTACCAAGAATAGTTGACCAAAGTCGAAATTAGTCGTTTGTGAAATATCTCTTGGAGTTCTTTGAAACCATTTTAAGGTAAATGTGTTGTTTCTTGTTCTGAGTATAAGTGTACTACACTGAGTACGAATTGAATTGAGACCCGCATGTGATGTCCGTCTAAGCAAAGTGCGGTATGGCCTTTCCTTATAGTTTTCGTCCTTGTAACTTTTCTTTCTTTTGTGTTTGATTTTAGATATGAACATTCTTCTGTTAAAGGACAAATGGCCATCAGTTGAGATGAAGAAACAACAAACAAATGTTGGTGTATTCACTCGGCAATTAAAGAAAATGGTTGTTGTTCACAGCGATGGAAGAGAATTGTGGCTGTTGTAGACCATTTTCTCGAGAATGAACAATATACATTGATGGTGACCTTTGAACAATGATCAAGAATGAACAAGATACTTTAATGAAGTCCTCTGAACAATGATCAAGAATAGGCAGTATACTTTAATGAGGTCTTCTGAACAATGATCAAGAATAGGCAGTATACTTTAATGAAGTCTTCTGAACAATGATCAGAAATAGGCAGTATACTGTAATGAAGTCTTCTGAACAATGATCAAAAATAGGCAGTATACTTTAATGAAGTCTTCTGAACAATGATCAAGAATAGGCAGTATACTTTAATGAAGTCTTCTGAACAATGATCAAGAATAGGCAGTATACTTTAATGAAGTCTTCTGAACAATGATCAAGATTGGACAATATACTTTAATGAAGTCCTCTGAACAATGATCAAGAATGAACAACATACTTTGATGAGATTGAAAAACACGTGACTTCTATTGTCCTAAAGGCTATCTCTACCAAGAATGCAAACACTAAGCACTATTGATGAGTAATGCATCCATCAACCTGTTTCCATGGAAGAGCCAATATTATAACCTTTTCAAAAACATTTTTCGTGGACATTATCCTGCGAAGATCACGACTGGTCAAACATTCGCAACGATGAATAAAACCACGCCACTATCGAACGCCCAAATTTCAACATTATTTAATTCAAAATTCTTCGTAAAAAAAAACATGGAATTTCTTTGACGTGAAAACGCAAACCTAAAAATCCTAATTTTCCGACTGGCTGTCGATATTTCCGTTTTAATGCCGTAGACGACATGCACAGTTGCAAGAAATGGCCAATCTTGCTTCTGTACTTGCCGTCGTCGACATTAAAGCGGGAATGTTTGTCAGGTAGCCTGAGAATTGGATACGATGGTTTCACCATCAATGTTCTGAATTTTTCAAAAAACTATTTTGGGCTTTTTTGTGGCTGTCCTTGCTCAGTATCCGATCGTTTCATCTTCGTATTTGGCAAATAATTTGTTGTTAATCGTTGTCTATCATCGAACTGCCAATGATTCTGTCGTCAATCTGCCAAGGATTCGTCGAAAACCGTGAGTGTAATAATAATAAACCTTTACTTAGTTAGGCCTGTTAACAGGTCAAATCTCTGATATATTTAGGACAATAGCCACAACAAATCCTGGTGCTCAGTATATTCCACATGAGGCTATTTTTTAATGCAGGAATGCAATTTCAAGAAACATCTAAAGAAATTAACATCTGCATTTTCAAAATAGTCTTGATTAAGAGGTGATAAAAATGTTCTTTCGGTTGAAATAATCCAATTGTGTTTTTTTGTGCTGCATTAATTATATTAAAAAATAGTATATTAGTATTCATGAAGTTGTATCAACTGTGTTAAGTCAGAGACTGACGTGCAATTGTGTTTGTTCTATATATTTTACCTTCGAAAAACCTCTGTGTGAATATACTGATTTAGGGAGCTACGCATGATCGCAGCGGCTGTTGCCTCGCAGAAGAATAGACAGTACCATATAGCTTAGAATCGGAAATGCAAGTGAAGTTTGGCCAAAGGAAGGCAACTTCAACTTGGGGTTAGTGGGTACAAATGGTACCTTAGCGTAGAGGATGCAAATAGCATCTGTAAGAAGACCTTTAAAGACTGGATCTAGCGAGCAAGACCTATTGAAGACAAAGGAAAGATGATGGTTTTGCTGAAAAGACAAAATATCTCTCCCCTAGTACGGTAAAAGCATGCAGTTGTTGTAGTTGGCCAATTTCATGAATGGCTTTCTACAGTGACTATTAAGGCACTCCTGGATCCCCTATAATGCATGAGTAGTTCAACCCACCCCGGTTGGAGGTCACCCGTAGGTGAAACATGCACTAGGTTAGGTTAAGTTAAGGGCATGATGGGTTACCTCCTTCAAGGGGCATTCCTTTTCAGGGCGGAATTCCGGTGTCATGCGCAGGTAGGAAGTTTAGATAGCTTAGGCGTGCGCTGTAGTTGCGGCGGGTAGTTGCTACGCTCAGGTAACGAACGTGAGGTTTGTACCTTTCAAGGATGAACCTCACTATCAAGATAAATGAGTGAATTTTAAATGTTTGGAAGAAAACTTTCAATCTTTTCTCTCATTCCTAAATCAACAAATAGATACTTAAAAAAGTATCTAATTTGTTAAGACATTTACAGTTTAGGGGCGGCGTGGCCATTACTGTAAATGTGTAAAGGGATATGTTGTCTTCTGTTAAAGAAAACTACATTCCTGGGAATTTCAAAGCTGCAAGCCACAGCGAAAGTGAGCATAAAAATAAATTAGTACACCAGGTCTAAGTATGCGGAATGCCTTCATAATAACCTAAAAAAAAGACTGTTGTTAGTAAAGTACATTACTTCGTGTTTTTTTGTAATGTTTACTATGAAGACAAACCGCAGACGTTGTCACATATTTAACTTAAAAGTTACACGAAGGTTTCCATGTTCACCAGTCGCGTTTCTATGAAAGTCATGTATGTGATAATTGTCAAAGTAAAACATACTTTAAATAAAGCGCTGCCGGTTGTTTGGTTAAACTATCACCACTTATTTGATAACCAAACTTTTAACGTGTGCTTCTTCAAGTGGTTTCAAAAAACAATGAATTTCGTCTGATCGTAAAACTAACTTGAAGTATTATATAATCTAATCCATGTCATACAGCCAGCGCTTGCTCCAATTTTAGGCGTTAGTGGCACCGGGCGCGCAAAGCACTGAATTAAACGGTGCAAAATAGGGGCGCTTAAGTGGCGCTAGGTGCGACTGACTTGGATGTGGATTGGATAAGAAAAACACACGTTTAATGAAATTCCCATCATTTACACAATTTTCTCGTTCAAAGTAGAAAATTGTCCGGTTCGGTGATCGATTTACGTGTAGTTAAACTGAAATATGGCAGCTTCGGTTCGTTATTTGTATATATTCAAAATGGCGAAAAACTTCAAAAAAACAAAAATACCTTTAAAAAACTAACAAATTGTTAGGCTTGAAATGGTATGTGAAAATTTGCGTTTTTTTTTGTTCTTGGCTTTTTGAATCGTTGCAAAGTAAGTAAAGTTTTTTGTTTGTAAGGGCCCCTGGGGTGCGGAACTTCGGCTAAAATCCCTAGCGGTTTTTTCCTGTTCAGTATTCTCCAAGTTCTTACGACTTCGTGTTCGGTCTTGGTTTATACCGTTCAGGTTTTTCCATTAGGGATTTTATATTTCGGTTAGGTCTTCAAAAAAAACAGTGACCTTGGTGTGGGACTAAGTTTGTACTACGTTATCATATCCAACAATGTACCTAAGGCCCCGTTTACACTATACCGGAATAGCTTTCGTAGCAGCTTGAATATTCTTTGTATTAAAAAGCAATGAAATTGTTCAAAGTCAGAAACACAATCAAATAGACTAAATCTATCAGCTTAATAAGTTTTCACTCCGAACAGTTAACCCTTTAAAGCAAATGAAGATGTTGTGATGAGCGAATCCGGTATAGTGTAAACGCAGCCTAAAGAAATACAATTTGAAGCTTAGGAACGCTTAGCTAAGCGAGCCTAAGATATATCAGCTAAAATTTACAGCCAT